AATGAAACGTCATTGTACACCTACCCTTAACTGTACCCCACAAAACCATAATAAAAACTACTGATTAATGAAAAAAAAAAAAAAATTGATGTTGCCATACTTTTTTTTGAACCTCCTTTTTTATTTAAAAACACTTTTAATGCTTTAAAAAAAAAACTGAAACAACCCCAGCCCTTTCAGAAAATGTGCAAGTACAGTCCAAAGTACTTTTTCTCCCAGAACCACTTAAGAGAAAATTGTCAGCATTAACTATAAATATTTTTATTTGGAACAGACACTTCAGTGGTGTTTCATCACTGTCTTCCTCACAATGAGAAACCAAACTGCCATATCTATAACTCTGCCATCAAAAGTGGTGAACCTTAGAATATGTTCATCTCAACTCTGCTAGGCAATGCCAAAATGTTTCCCAAAGTGATTGGCAGACTTCCCAAAATAATCTGTGACCTCCACCTTCCTCATCAACAAATCTTTCTTTAACCCCCATTAGTGGTCTCTATTTCTTTCCCTCTACAGAAAGGGTCCATGTGGAGATCATATCAGAGCCCTTACTATTCACAATAGAATGTTTTTAGTGTCTCTTCTCATCCTCTTTGGTTTCTGAGTAGAACTTGCTTCTTTTTTTTTTTTAACCTGCCTGTACTTTTTGAAACTCTGGCACACCTCATCAAAAAGTTTACCAGCATAAATGATCGTTTGTATACCTAATCCTGAATTGTACCCTACAACTTTAAAATTAAAAATTAAAAAAAAAAAGAAACTCTCTCTTTGTAATTGGTTTCATTCACTTGTCCATTTGTTTATTGAACAAGTATTTATTTGTTGAGCACCTGTTATGGTTCAGGCACTCCGGCAGGCAATGTATAGATGATGGTGACTAAGATAGAGAGAAACCTGTCTTCATGGCACAAATGGCAAACTGAACTGGTTTTCCTAAATTACATGTTGGATCAATGCCACTGTATGCTCAAGTACTTGTAATGCCTTCTTCTAAATTAGTAAAAAAACTTAGTTCCGGCTACTTGGAAGGCTGAGGCAGAAGGATTGCCAGAACCCAGCAGGTAGAGGCTGCGGTGGCCAGGAGTGTGCCACTGTACCCCAGTCTGGGCGACAGAGTGAGACTCCAACAAAAAAAAGAAAGAAAGAAAGAAAGAAAGAAACTTTATAATCCTTCATCCAGCATCCTCCTAAAATGATAATATCCTACCTGCCCTGTCCCCCATTATTGTTTTACTGGATATCAGTGAATTCTAAACAGTGAGTCACAGACCACTATCCAGTAGAACCAAATTATTAAGCCAATGGTTCCTTAAATCCATGTATTTCTCAATAGTAGACTGAATAGTAATATGCCTCGTACATTTACTCTCTATGTTGTTCAAGTTCATGTAAGTATCACTGTAAAATTATTCCAAAGTGAATTCAGAATAACTTGGTTCTCGTGTATTGTTTTCTATAAAATACTACCAAAATAACAATAAGTACCATTTTACTTGGGATGCAAAATTTTTTGATGTTTACAGGTAGACCTAGGTTCTAAAAAGTCTTAATTCTGGCCATTGTTTTACTAAGCATTGGCCAGGTCATGTGTTCTTTGAGCTATGGCCACCATGATTCTTAGTTTTGGCCCCCTCCCCTACTTTGGGGAGGTGAGTCTCCTCTCTCTATCCATTTGCCATTGCTTTGTTAAACGCTAGTGTGTCCACATGGCTCTTTGAGCTATGGTCGCCATGTTTCCTAGCTCTAATGCCCTCCCCTACCTTGGGGAGGTGAATCTCCTCTCTCTCTCTCTCTCTCAATTTCTATTTTCTAAGTAGACTATATTTTCCAATCTAAAAAAAAAGTCTTAATTCCAGCAAAACTGAACAATTTTTCCCTTCGGTATCCTGTCTTTAAAACTTTGCTAAAGATGGCCGCCATGTTGCAGTAGGACAGTAATGATGATACTGAAGATGTTTCACTGTTTGATGCAGAAGAGGAGACAACTAATAGACAAAAAAAACCCCAAATCAGACACCCAGTGGCATCATTTTTCCATTTATTCTTTCGAGTCAGTGCAATTGTAGTCTATCTTCTCTGTGAATTGCTCAGCAGCAGCTTTATTGCCTGTATGGTGACAATTATCTTGTTGCTGTCATGTGACTTTTGGGCAGTGAAGAATGTCACAGGTAGACTAATGGTTGGCCTGCGTTGGTGGAATCACATTGATGAAGATGGAAAGAGCCATTGGGTGTTTGAATCCAGGAAGGCATCCTCTCAAGAGAATAAAAACATTTCAGAGGCTGAAGCAAGAATCTTTTGGTTGGGACTTATTGCCTGCCCAGTGCTGTGGGTGATAGTTGCCTTTAGTGCCCTTTTCTCCTTCAGAGTAAAGTGGTTGGCAGTAGTTATCATGGGTGTGGTGCTACAAGGTGCCAACCTACATGGTTACATCAGGTGTAAAGTGGGCAGCAGAAAGAATTTAACCAGCATGGCTACCTCATATCTCGGAAAGCAGTTTTTGAAACAAAACACTGGAGATGATCAGACTTCTTGAATAGAGAGAGAAAGCTTATATGTTCTGTTACACTGGGGAACAACTGAAGAGATTCTTGATTCTGAACCATTAAGAGCACAGCCCATGTTGCAATGAGGAGTACTGGGTTTGTTTTTTCTACTTAAGAATTATATTTAAAAAAAGAAAAGTAATTTTCATATTAAAATTTTATTTTCTTTCCAGTAGTTGGGGCTAGAAAGTATGTTGTCACTAGAAACATTGTCAAAATTTGTTTTGTGGTGTACATAAGTTGCACATAGTCATATAGTATCAGTATGTCCCAAATTAAGTGTTTGTGTTCATTTACATATGTAACAGAAATGTTTGCATTTTGATCCATAGAACATAGAATTACGTTCTTATTCTATTTCAAAGCATGTGTTTACGTATTATTTCTGTAGATTATTTTCAGAAATAAGCTTTGCTTTCATGATAAGAGTACTTTGGCATATGTATAAGTTAGAAATAATTGCTAATTTTTCATATGTACTTCATGGTGAAATTTAGAGATGTGCAAGCAAGTAAAAGCCAAATTCGGGTCAGTGGTGTTAACTAGTTTCTAAAATTGTTGTTTATTTTTGTTAGAAGTCATTTACCTAAGGCTCATTAATAGAAGTAGAATCTTCAGAGTTTATGTTTAAGGGATATCCAGAGATTGCTGCTGTTCTCACATTTATGGAAAAGATAGCCACATTTCACTTTGCAACTTCCTGGAAACTCTTGGTCCTTGGACTAATAAAATTCTTTCTTGTATCACTAAAAAAGCATTATTATTATGTCATAATGAGAATAACATTTAAATACTTGGCATAATAATTGCCTAAAAGACAGTTTATGAATCTATTTTTTTTCTTTCTGCTATTATGGGAATATTATAAATCATGAATTTGTAGTATTTCTTAAAGCAGTATATTTAACTGTAAACTAATCTACAAACTATTGTAGTCTTCTGTAAATTCAGTTGTTGGTACTATAAACTTTGGAGTCTTAATCAGATTATGTTGTAAATGTATTTGTACATTGTTAAAATATTTTTAAGTTGTTTAATTGAATGTCTTTATTGGAATGATAACTTTGAAGGTGCAAAACTTTATATTTGTATAAAACTCTACTGTTTACCAAAAAAAAAAAAAAAAAAAAAACTTTGCTAAAGCGTGTGGTCCTGTGACTTTCGTGTCATCTGCAGAAATTTTATCCAAGGTTCAGTTTTTATTTCAAAATTCTCCTCCTTTGAGGTATCTTTTCCTGTTGTAATCTTTTCTTGTGCTATCCTTGCTCATGGTTGTCCCAGTTCTGTGTCTAAAAGACTATGTTTTATTTATCTGTCAATTCCCTGAAACACCTAACATAATCCTGGCACATCATATGTACAAACTATTGTCAAATTGATATGAAGATTGTTCATGGGCTGGGTGGAGTGTCATCACACCTGCAATCCCAACGTTTAGGAAGGCTGAGATGAGAGGATCACTTGAGAGCAGACTGGGCAACATAGCAGGACTCCATCTCCTCAAAAATAATAATAGTAAAATAAAAATGTTTTAAATTAGCTGGGCATGGTGGCGTGTGCCTAGAGACCTAGCTACTTGGGACAGGAGGCTGAGTTGGGAGGATTGCTTGAGTCCAGGAATTTCAGGCCACAGTGAACTATGATCATGCTGCTGGGCAGCAGAGTGAGATCTTGTAGCTACAGAAAAAAATTGTCCATGAGCAATCATCTCCAACAAATGTATAACATAATCACTGTTGTCTACCTTAGAGTTAGTAGAAATAAAGTAATATATTAGAAATAAAGTAATATATTTCAAGTATTATTTATTTTATTGGGAAAAATGTTTCATAAATCCATTATTATGCTACTTTAGAGCTTTTAGAACTCTTGGGTTCATCCTGCTTTTAAACTATTTTTAGCACTTACGTCTAATGCACAAGAAGCTGAATTAGCTCATGCTTATTTCACATGCAAAATAAATTTCCTCTTCCAGATGATTAATATAATAATACTCTTCCTCCAAACAATATTTCCTGATTAATGTATTTCTATGAAGGATTAACCTATGAAAGTTGAGGCAGGAGCCCAGACTTGTTACTGGGTTGGGATAGAAATTTTATCATTAGTTACTATACAATGCATATGGACCTTTACGTTCTTACCAGGGACAAAGACCTTAGTTCCTTCATCTCTGTAATTCCCTACTCTTAGATAAACCACACATCTTCGCACAGAATGTGTGTTTAAAGCATCTCCTAAGTGAATACACACATGAATCCGCTACAGGAAAGGCTTTTGCTGACCTAGAGGTCGGGCCCCATTAAGTGAAACAGGTACCGTATGATGATGACTGTATGAAGACACAACGCCCAATAGACAAAACAGACCTTCATTTCTATTTACATGACAGAAATATTTAACTACTTCATCCTACTTCTTTTTTTCTATCTTTTTAAAATTATATAATCTATCTTTTCTGACTCTGTTCACAGAGAATTGTAACAAATTTTGACCCAAAGATATGTGCCTTCCTTGGGTGGCCAGCATTCATTCAAGCCATCTAGTACTTTCAGATCTGTAACCATTATAAAGGTTCATATCTGAGAACAGGAGACTGCAAAGCAATTCTTTTTTTATTTTAATCAATATTTTTATTATGATATTGTGGGTGATATTATGATATTGTACAGTTAAGGGTTAGGTCTACAAATATGCTTCATTCAGGCACCCTTGTTGATAAGAGGTGTCTCCCCGTCCCCAGACAGATATTTACTACCGTTAATCCCATCTCCTTCCCCGCCCCCCATAGTTTCCCACCACTGTCAGTCATTTTCAAAGCAATTCTTGAAAACTACTTTGGTCCGACTGTTTGCGTCCCCCCTGAAAATTCACATGTTGAGACCTAATCAATAATGTGATAGCATTAGGAGGTGAAAAATGACTCACGCTCACTAAGGAAAGATCCAGTGATATGCTAAAGTGGTAAGATGGCCTTTGGAGAGGTGATTAGGCCATGTGGGTAGAGACCTCATGAATGGGATTAGTGTCTTTATTAAGGGTTGAAGGGGCCAGAACTGTCCCCCTTCCACCTAGTGAGGACATAGGAAACTGGCGCCATCTATGAACCAGGAAATAGTCACTCACCAGACCCAAATCTCCCAGTGTTTTGATCTTGGAATTCACAGTCTCCACAACTGTGAGAAATAAATTTCTGTTGTTTATAAACTGCCTAGCCTATGATATTTTTTTATACTAACTCAGACAGAATATGACACAGACCTTCCAGAATTTCAGAATGTAATTTTGGTTCATATGTGTATCAATCAAGGGAAGCTGGTAAAGGGAAGTTCAGAAACCGATGTTTTTCTTGCTCTTTATGGATTATTAAATTATATATGTTAAAAGATAGGTCATTATCAGTTGAGATTCAGGATATCACTTTTCTGCCAATTTAGAGAATAGTAATTGTGATTGTAACTGGCATGTTGTCTCAAAATGATAAGAGATTCTTCCTCAGAAAGAACAATCTCTTCTTGTCATAGAGCTAATAGTGTCCTGAAGAAACATCATGAAGCGCAAATAAGAGAGATGTTTTAGGGCAGGGAGCAGAAGGGAAAGGGAGGACTGGTGTTCTTTACGTCATTGTGATCCTGATTTAAAGTAGCTTGGTGAGACACATGGAAACTAGCCCCCTCCCACAGCAGAATTAGGAGCAGAGTTTGGGAAATCTTAGAAGAGAGAAATGGGACTCCTCTCAGACTGATGGTCACATAAGTTTGGAAACTAACACCTCATGGCAGCAAGATTAGGAAATATTCCCAAGGTCAATTGATTCTATCATCAGACAAGCTATTTTTAAAAGTGTTTTTAAAAACCTTCATCTAGTCTTACTGGGGTGCGGTGCTTATTTCCTCCTTCCTCTATCTTGGCAGAACATCCCCATAATAGGTTTCCCGCAAGGAAATGCCAAATCCGAACATCAGACAGTTATACTCAGAGCAAGTAAAAATTATTCCACATTTTCCTATTGCAGACCGACCAGTCATTAGATTTGTAAGAATGTACTCAATTGCTTGATACTTTTCTAGGCATTTGGACCTGTATTTTAAAGATCTCAGCTTTAGTACACATCCAACCAAAGGAGAGAGTAAGGCTTGATGGTAAATGAAACAACTGATTAGACATACTTCAAAAGTCACTAGGCTTTAACGGAAGTAGGAATATTTCAAGACAGAGCTCTCTTCCGCACCTTCAAATCCATCCCAGTATGGGTTGGGGGCAGGCAGGAGAGACAGAAGGTGGCAAGACTTCTCTGACCTGGAGTAGACAGGGTCCATTTCAGGGCTAAAGACAATGGTTGAGAAGATGCCCTGAGAGGAATGTGATCTCTCAGGTCACTGGAATTTATAGTCTGACACTTGCACTCATACTAAGAAACAAATAAGCAGCACGTGTCCTCAACCACAGGTGTGAACCATAAGCAGCCTGGACTTGTTGTCCATCCACCAGATCTTCAAACCTCTGTGAACGGTTATCTACCATTGAACTCTAGTCCCAGGAGGTAGCTTTATTTTTCTTCATTAGTTGGGAAAAAATGGTAAGGATAACTCATTCTTCTTGGGTTTTATCATAAAGTATACTCCACACAAGATGATTCAGAGAGTTATATGGCACTTACTATCTGTTGAATTTTCTAGTTTTGTTCACAGCAAGATGAACTAAGGAGAGCATTCAGAGGTGCACGTAATATTAATTTAGCAATATGAATGCTTTTCAGCCTCTTTAAGGGGGACAACAATACTGACTACCAAGATGTTTTTTTCTCACTCCTTCTTATTTTTTCTTCAAATACATTTAGAAAATCCGTGGCATTTATTATTATTATTATTACTATTATGTGGTAAATGACTCACACTCACTGAGGAAAGATTCAGTGATGTGCTAGTGGTAAGATGGTTTTCTTTAGATTTTATCCTACGTTACCAAAGCCCCCAAACTCCAAAGCATACAGTTTGACATCATTAGTGTGGATTCAAAGAGTTGACAAGTTTAAACAGATTGGTGTAAGCGTCATGGGTATTTTTATGACAAATCATCAGTTACTTCAATCCAAGTAAATATTATCTACTAACCTGTGTCAAAACAAGGTGTTCATACTTTAGTTGATTCTTTAGGCAAAATCACATTAAACTTAAATAGTACCTCCCAGGGATTGTGCTGAAACATCTGTGTTCTTAAGCACCATGTCCTCCGTGAGAAATAAATT